CCCCAATGCCTGCAGCCAGGGTTCAAGGTCACCTAGGGAGCCACACTATCCCAGTGTGACAGCTTAAGACTCACTCTGCGGATGGTGGACAAACATGTATATTTCATGTAGGGTTCACATATGATAGATTCAGCTGCCATGGGCTGACCTGATTCTCACAGGTAACTCTTAGAAAATTTCCAGAAAATTCAGTCAGACAAGGATCTCTATTAGACTGTGCAGGTTGGTAGCAGGATGACAGCATGTGGCCAGAACACTTCTGTTGCCTGTAAGTACCCATACTGCCTAATAAGACAGACCCCCAGAAGGTTGATGCCATGTCACCTTCCTTGTAACCAATGTGCATAAAGAGAAGCTCTCAACACTGAAAAGTGAGCAGACAACAGCGCTAGAAGGGGCCACATCTCACTCAGTCCACACAAGGTGTCCCTAAGAGAAACAAGCCAACAATGCATTACTTCTGCAAATGTGTTGAGTATATTCAAAACAAACACACTAAAAGGTCATTATTCACCATTTAGATGTCAGGGATGTAATAATAATGTTTTTATTGCACATATTAGTGTTCTTGAGTGCTTTTAAAGTACTGTGGAACTTCAAAATATTTTCCAGTTTCAGAGAATTAATTAGCTTCCCTGTGGAGTAGCTCAGAAGTGACGTTGCTGTTTTGGAGATGGGAAAGGTAAGGGGTTTCGAATTATTCATCTTTTCAATAAGTTTGTAGCAAGCATATGCTCTCTGAATGAATATAGCTTGCAAGTCATGAGGACATGAAGTGACTGATGGAAAGCTAGCTATATTTATGAGACCACAGGGAAAGAGTTAAGTTGCAGAAGTCTTTAAGACCATGGTAAGGAATTCAGTCTTTACTATAGGAAATCATTATTAAAATCAAACAATATGCAATATTGTTAATGTAATTAACTGAATAGTTCTCCAGTCCTTTATAAAATTAGCCGCGTACTTGAAAGAGTTGATTCACTTGTCAAAGTCATTCAGATGATTAGGTGGTTCTCTAGTTTATGTACTGATATTTTCAGGATTAAAATTTATGATGTTGTGTAGACTGGATAAGCATGTATCACTGCATTCATCAACCATCTGGTGATAATTATTAAGGGAAGGTCTGATTACATTTGGGCCTCCCTCTCCTTATGAACCAAGCCATCAGCAATGAGAAAAGACCTAGAGCTCCCAGAGAGATGTGTATATGGAGATCACCACCAGGTCCACAGCTCCCATGGAGCTCCAGGCTAAGCATAGCCCAGCTTTCTTTTGCTTGAGCCCAGCAGCAAGCATGCTCTTGAGGGGACTCCTTTAGGCTGCTTTGCAATAGCTTCCTCTTAACTGGAATATCTCTAGCAAAGGTTTTGTGGGAGCAATATCTTCATGCCTTGACTTTTTTCATGCCATAGACAACAGGGCTTCAGGCACCCCCAACTGTCTGAATTTGAGAGATTCAGCGCCAACCCCAAGACAGGCATTGTACTTTTGTAGAAATGTTTCAATTGGGGATGTGGTGCAGAATTGAAGGAATTTCTTCTACATGCAAAGGTTCCTAGAACGAACTGACTGAAACAATGCATTCTGTTTCTAAAGGAAGTTTAACAGAAAACATCAACAAATCCCATTTCCCGGTATATCTTTGTAACATTTCTTGTGTGTGCAGACAACTTTTACAAATGGCCCGGCTCTGAAGCAGAAGGGCCTTGAAGGTGAACGTGAAGGTCAGAGAGCCTCATGACCCTTTCATGCTAAGTTCCTTCTCTGGCTCACTAATTAACTTACAGGTAGAGCTTCCAAGAAGCGTCCTTTCTCCTGTTTCATTTTTTAATTGGATGTCAGCACAAGCAAAGGAAAGAACCAATGAGAGTCTCATATTAAATGCCAAAATTTGCTGAGCTGGACTTGATTCCTGGTTGCTACAAAACAAATCTAAGTTTATATCAGAGGTGACAAACTCCACGCCCTGTCATTTATCCTTTTTATAGCTTGGGTGACACCAACAGTCAGCAAGTCATGTTGACAACTTGGCGAGCCAACCAAACCAGGAAGCCACCATGAAGGTTTTCTGAACCACAGTCAGAATGTTCTTTCACGTTTAACTAAATGTATGCATTATGGACATTAATAAGTGATGAGTGTTCCCCCAAATACTATTTCATTTAAAACACAGCATCACGGTAACCACATGGCAGAGAAACTAAAGCTTCAGGTGTCGTTAGTCAACAATTTGGAAAGCCTGGATATAAGCCAGACCTGTAGGATCCAGATTCTGAACTCCATTGTGTTCTGTGTCATCTTGTGCCTCTGGAACCTTTCAGCTGAACTTACACCCACCATCCCTGAAAATACTCATCTATAACAATTCAACATGTAGTATTTTATCACATAGTCCTATGAAATATTTCACTGTTCATCTCTTTTTCTGCAGTCTAGCGAGCATCTCTACAGATGAGCTTTGTTGTATGTTCTCAGTTATCTCCTGAGCTGTGAGAAGTAAAAGCATTGGCATGGTATCACAAACAAATTTTATACTTTCAATAAGAATGCCAAATTTCCCTCTGAATAATTGCACCAAATTACATGCCTATTATCCATATGTATTTATTTCTAGGTTCTAAAAGTCTCAGTTTAAAACTGTAAAAAATATTAACAATAATTCAAATCCAGACTAATCACATCGCATTGTGAAATATTAGAAATACACGCCATGGAATATAGGGGGATATAGTGTGGGACTTGTTCACAGGGCATGCCTGCTCTGGGGTGACAGTGGTTTACATTTTTGCAATGTGTCTAGACACAGTGTACCTCTTCACAGTTCAGCAGGGAAACACTGCTCAGCTCCTTCTAAATGTGTCTGCAAGAAGAAAGCATCATCACAAAGGGGGGGGGGGTGTCAGCAGGCTTGCAACATGCTTGATACAGGTCACCAAATGTTAAAGATTTTTCTGGTGGGTCCCCATCTGGAATGGGTTTCCTCTGGGTGCTAGTCGCAGTGTGCCCGACTCTTGCTCTGTGTATGAGCTCAACAGCATGGCTTTCTGGTCTGTGGGGATTCAGCAGAGAAGTGAGTGGTCACTGGGAGCAGATAAGCTAGGAACAAGGAGGAAGGAAATAGCTGTGTGCAGTCAGCACAGGGGCCTGTGAAAATCACTCTGCACCCTATCCCTTCATAAACTCCTAAAGGTTCCATCACACTTTATTCCAGGGACGCTGGGATTCACTGCTCTTGAAGGAGATGATCTTTGAATACATAAGCATTCCCTGTATTCAGTGGACTTAGTAGATACCAGCCCTGTTGAATATTGCACCTGGCTGAGGTCTCACAGGTGAGTGACATGATAAAATCTATCTTTTCGGTCTTACCAGTGATGGAAGATGAAAGTCTGTGACAGCATAGAGAGGAGAAAGATTGATTTGGCCTGGGGTGGAGGTTAGGAAGAAGGAGACTTGGAAAAACAGTGGCGTTTTTTGAGGCTGGAAAAGCAGGTTGTTCAATCCTAAATTGGTTTCTGATGCTGATCTTATAAATAAAGTCATGAAATAAGAATATTACGGAAACCAGTAATTCTTTCTCTGTTTTGACTTGTCTCGCTCTGTCTCTGTCTTGCTCTCTGTCTCAGTCTCTGTCTCTCTAACACACACACACACACACACACACACACACACACACACACACACACACAAAATTTCTGTTGCACATTTAAAGCCATCCCTGGGAGGGACAGGAATTCCTGGGGAAGCAGGAGAAATTGGCTACCAAGGATTAGGGACTACGACTGATTGCCTAAATGTTGGGCACCATGAATTCAGGGTACACTCATCTGGAAATCCGACAATGGAACCATGGGTTGGGCTATGGAGTCCTGTCTCCTCTCACTCATCCTTCTTCACAACACCCTAGCACAATACTGGGCAACCAACAAGAAGTCATTGTAGAGTTAATTTTAAATATTTGCTTTTTCCCTTGTTGACGGCAATGAGCCTTGGCTAAACAATTGCTCTGTTTACTAATCAGGAAACAGGAGTAAAAAAATGGGCCCATAGCAACCTGTCCTGGAACCATGCAAGGGGATGCAAGAGCCTAGGGGGAGGCTAAGGCTCCTACCTCAGCTCTGGCTTCTTCAGCAAAGGCTGAAGCCCCTCCCCTCCTCATTCAGGACCCTCCAGCTAGAAGGCAGAAATAGTGTCAGCGAGGTGATAGCCAGCTCCGCCTGTCACGTTCACTCGTTCTAGGTCTTCTAGTCCCCAGAAGCCTCGCCCCTCCTCCATCCCCAGCCCAGGTTTGGAGGCGAGTCCCCTCTAGTGACTGAGCCGCCTGCATGTTGGCGAGTGGCTTTCTGCCTCCTTCGCATCTTTGTCTCCTCCTCCAGCTAGACTCCTGCTCCCTGCACAGGGTCTGCAGCGGCCAGCGCCGCAGCGAAAGCCAAGTCGTGCCCTACACGGCCGCCCGGGGCCGCACCCTCGCTCGGTGGCGGCGCGCAAAGACGCCAGCCGCGCCACGCACAGCCTGCGTCCTGCGCCCCGGCCACAGCGCATCCACGCCGCCGCGGCGGTCGCTCCGGAGCGGAGCCCGGCCGGCGGGCCGGGTCAGGGTGGGCAGCCCAGTTCGTAGCCTGCTGGAGGTGGCGGCCGCTGCAGCCCTGGCAGCGCGCACACCCCTAGGCATACGCACCAAACGCCTCCTCCCTGCGCCACGAGGATGGAGCAGCCATCCCAACCCAGGACTGGCGCAAGGTAAGGTGCAGCCGCCTGTTGCTTTACGCAGAGCGCGGGATCAGCTCCCAGTCAGGTTGCCTAGGCCATCTCTCTGGGAAGCAGAGAACGGTCACCGCAGTTCTGAGTCCTGTCAGTCCAAATCCCCGGGTCCCTTTGACACAGATCTTTGGAGAGACTCTGCCTGGAGAAGAGAAGTCGACCCTTTTCGGTCTTGTGCAACCAGGTGCCATGCAGCAGTCTGCAAACTTTTGTGACCCTCCCTGTGTGGTTCTCACCTGGTGCGGTGCCTGTTCATTTCTCTCGTGCGCCCTTCCCCCAGCTCCCCCTTCCTTAACGCATTTGCCCATTTCTCTCACTGTGTTCTTGCAGTTCGACTTTTCGCTCTCTGCAGCTCCGGTTCCAGAGACGAGGGCTTGCGATCTAGTAGTGCTTCTCCTGCCTGTCGCTACTGGGTAGGGGCAGAGGACCAGGGGAGGTGGGACTTAAGGGAAGGCTGCTGTTACCCGGGGTCTCCATCCAGAGCGGTGGGGGTCAGACCACTCGAGCACGCCACCCCCAACTCGATAATAAAATCCCCAGAGTGGCTTTGGGTTATGGTTTTGTGCCGTGGGAAATGCAAGTGTGGATCTGGGTGGGTGAAGTAAGTGGTTCTGGGAGGAAAAGGTCTCTCTTGAGGATGCCGGAGGCAGCCAGAGGGTGAGATCTGCCCAAGGGTGAGGGGACGGAAAGGCTCTGCTAACGTGGGCGGAGGGACAGCCCAGCGTGGTCACTGAAGAGGATTTGGAAGAGATTGAAGTCCGGTGGGGGTGGAGGGCGCCCGGCCTGGATGTGTAAATACAGGGGGAGGGGCTAGGTACCTGGGAGGTCCCGAGGTGGGAAGCAGCTCCTGGAATTCCTGCCCCGGGGTATTTAGGAAGGCTGGCTGCTTCTGCCTAGGGTAGAAAGAGCTCCCTCCCCAGGAACAAACAAACCTCTCGGCTACATTCTGAATGCGTTGGCATCTTGGGCGGTGACTGAATGTTCAGATCATGGACCGAGGACGCTGTTCCTGGCTCCAAGCGGACCACAGCCCCTGTCCTCTCCCGCACCCGCTCATCTCTACACCCCTTCATCTTCGCAACCGGGTCGGTAGATCTACGCCCACCGTCTCTGACGGCACTGGGGCGTCAAGGATGTCTCCACGTCCCGGAATGGGAAGGGGACGGGGACTCCTGGCTTGATCCCTAGGGGTATATTTATATGTGGAAAGCAAAGGGGGATCCTCAGCGCTCAGCAGATAGTCTGGGGTCCCAACCCTCCAGAGAAGAGTGCAGGGCGGAGGCTGCACCCCGAGCCACCTTCTCGGGCTGCTTCAAGGTTTGCACCTGGGCGGAGCAAAGAAGGGAGTGGGGGAGCCCTGAGCTGGGCTGGGAAAGATCTTAGCTTAGAACTGGGGTGTGTGTGGAGAGTCGCAGCGGAAGGGGGTGTGCACAGCTCCTCCCGTGAAGGGAGACCCAGCTTCGCGACCTGGTCTCGGGGATCAGAGGTGGGTCTACCCACTTTGCAACCCCCAGATAAATCGTCCTGGTTGTTTCTGATGACTTGGTGGATGCAGGAATATTCTTTTCCATCTCAGCCATCTGGCCTTCAAGACCACTTGTGGGAAGGGGCCCATTGCAAAGAAAGGGCGGGCGTCCCCTCTCTATTTATCTCCAAACTCCTCCTCTCTTCCTGAGTGGGGGACACATCACCATGTCTGGGAGAGGAGGTGCATAGCCCTCCTCGCCCTATCTCCTGTGACACTTTCGGTTGAGAGCCCTGCTTGTCTCCAGTTCCTACCTAGCCTGGTGGGGAAGCATTTGGAGGTTGTGCTGCTGTGGGGCTGTGGAAAGCTCCCAGGCTCTCCCTGCCTCAACTTCTCATGTTCTGGCTTCTAGGAGAACAACCTTCCCTGGGTTGCCCTGTGATTGCTTCTCCTATCCTGCACTAGCCAGGAGAAAGCAGGATTGGAGTCAATTTGCTTCCCTCTTTGGTCGGAGCCTTCTAGAAGAGTGGTGGACCATCAGGGCTCTAGGAGGAATTTTATGGCAGTCACTCCCATCCCCAGGCCTACCTGGAGCTGCTAGCTCCCTGCTTCGAAACAGACAGCTCTAGAGCCAGAGGAGCAAGAATGGGGATTCCCTCTACACAAGCTTCTAATGCATTTCTGGGGCACAAAGGCCACACCCTCACCAGCCAGACCTGGCTGGTGACAGCATGCAGCTTCTTCTGAATTACCTGGATACCTGAGGTAGGACTCTAGATCTCAACCGCTCTGACAGGTTTCTAGATGTTTCTCACCTGTATTAGTGCTTTCCCCCTTTTCACGGAAATAGGGTGGGGTGTCTCATGTCTTGGGAACTTGGGAGAAGGCTTCAAAGCCTCACTGAGGTAGCTCCGGCCAGTGGTTGAACTGTGTGGGGGAGATTGGAGAGATAATAGTGCCTCAGCATTCACTGGGGTGGTTCTGCTTGCAGGGCCAGACACTGTCCTGGATATCGTATGTGCTTGAGTTGCTTTTAGTTTACACAATAGCCATAAAAGCTAGGTGGCGTGATTTTATATGACTATAGGTGGGAAAATCAAGTCATGGAGAATCAGTTTGCTCTTTGTCATCCAGCCAGCACATGGTAGGGCTGGTTCCCCAGAGGGCAAGCTGTGTGTCCCAAACTCACACTCAGGTTTTGTGGTAAAGGCTGCCCACAGGGGAGAATGCATGAGGCCCCTTCCGCTTCAGTCTAAGCCCAAGGGTATACTGTGCATGCTGGCCTCTCCTCCGGAATCTGGAGTGGGGACTGACATTGTGTCTAGAGTCTCCCCGGGTGCACCAGAAGCCAGTCTAAGGAACCGCTTGTTGTTGTTGTTGATCTTCTCTTTTCAACCTGTTAGCAGATGTTTCTCTTTTAAATGCAGAGCTGGGTTTCTAAGTGTGGTCTGCTTTGTGCTATGAAGCTGGAGGCATCTGGGGTAGTAAGGGTATTCCACAGGAACATGTCTAGGAGTTGAGTGCGAACACAGGCCCTGTCTGGGAGCTCGGAGACCATGGTTCCTCTGCAGAGGCCAGCTGGTGCTGGCTACCACCCCTCAGTGAGCTTGTAGCATAAGTGTGGGAAGCATTGCCTTTTTACTCCTGGGCCCAGTGAACTTTTTTATGCACAAATAGATGTTTATTCCTGATGTTTTTCAGCATCTTAAAAACCCTTAGGGAAAAAGACTTCCCTATTTTAAAAAAAGGTAGTTTTGCTTATTTTTCCTAAGCTACCACAAGCTCAGCTCTTTGGTGGGATGGGCAAGGAAATTGCAGTAGACTATAATCCTTCAAATCAACAAAAATTAACTAACCATGTAAACCTTTAATGATTCTAAATAAGATTAAATGAATTCCCAGGCATTTTTGAAAGGTCTTATCAAGTTTGAGTAGTTTTGCCCTGCCCTACTCACAGTCATTTACCAAAGTAGAGAAACTGTAAAACATAAGGGGAAATCGCTTTCTGATGCAACCAAATGCCTTGATGGATTTCTCTCCTGTAGCTTCCCATTACATTAGACTTCCCCGTTAACATAATTCTAAGTGTTCTCTTGTACTTTGGACTCCAATGCTTCTCCACTCACTGAGACACTCCCATAGCGAGCACTTCCCAGCCACCTAGGCATTCTCTTTAACCTCTAAGTAGTCTCGTGGAGTGGGATTCTGGCTACTAGGGATAGTGCATGTGTTTTTTCTGAGGTCATAGTTCCAGGATGACCTCCTCTGGAAGATAAACTAAGAAAAATCCAGCTAGAGAGTGAGAAAAGCCCATTTCTCAGCTGCTCCAGGATAGCAGAAGTTAAAAGTGAACATGGACACCTGGTAGCTCTTATGTCACCCCCAATTTGGTGACATGCCAGCACAGAGGTCCTGGGCGGTGGCTGTTGGAGGAGAAGGTGAGGCCTGCTGGAGAAGCTCTGGGCGACAGGAACTCTAGAAGCAAGGGATATGTCACAGAGACTATTCTTGCTATCTTTTCCATCCAACCACCTCCACTTGCAATCTTTGTCTGTCCGGCAAATCCCAGGGTCTCAGGGTCTCTGGGGGCTGCATTCACTTTCTAGAGAGTTCATTAAAAATGAATCATGATTTAATGTGTGTCAGAAAATTCATACACCTGCCACACTCTTCCAGGAGGACTGTGAGCAATCAGTTTGTCCCCTCAAAAGACTGTCTCAGGATTAGGGTACTGGTTTGGCTAAGGCTCTGTTCTTTGCCACAGTGAGGAGAATCCAGAGAAGCTGGATCAATACCCTGGTCGTCCATTTCAGTCTTTTCAGAGTAGGTGGGAGTTAGCTGCGGGTCTCTGACTCCTGTGACCCATGTTCCCTCTTCTTACTCTATGGGCACCTTTGTGGTATCCTATCAAGTGGCTCACAGGATACCATCACAATTCTCCAAGCATCTATTTGTTTTAAATCTTATAACTGTGAGTTTGTGGACAAGAGAAAAACCGAATAACTATGAGCGTAATCACAAGAAAAATGAAGACTTCTTTCAGAATATATTGACTGCAAATGCTCATGTTCTAAATGGTGCAATTACACATTATTTTCATTTTAGGTTAATTTTTAAAAAATAAATAATTAAGATCCAGAGTATCCAACTTAGATTTTGAATTTAAAAAAAAGTCAAAATAGGTTCTAAGAAAAAGGTTTGAAGATAATTCCATAAATGAAACAAACAAAATGAAAATATCAAAATAGAGCCAGAGAGGTTTTAGCCTCATAAATTCTGTCTTAAACCATTATATAGTATCTTAAATCACATCCACTTTTGAGTTCTCTATGTGACTAAAAATTTAGCACCGTATTCATTTTATCTGTAGACTGTGACTCTGAACATTTTTTGATAGTGCAGGGTGGACCAGGCTTTTAGATGACAGATGGCCATCTACTTTTGTGTCCTCTTTACAAAATGTTAGAAGATTGATGCATCCCAGCTCAGCATATGACATGGCCATTTCCTGTGACAACAAAGTCTGGGCATTCTTCTTTTGAGTCATGTGACATGGCCATTTCCTATGAGCGTGAAGTCTGGAGTCTTCTCTTGAGCCAGTGGTCTTTCTCCAAAGGAATAAATTAATAGGAAGGCCAGTACAATTCTTCAGGAATGAATAATTAAGTCTTGGAGAGAGAACCAGTCCCATAAAAATGGACTTTCGTCTTCATGGGATAAATGAACAGATTAGGGAAGGTTACAATGTTTATTGTTTCATTCCATGCTAAGCTCACTTTATGTTAATACTTGCCTAGTGAAAATATTACTACACTCTTATGCAGTTTTTATTTTAAGTGCTTTAGTGCCTTTTATTAGGAAAACAAAATGGGAACAAATATATATCTCAAACTATTTTCAGTATCATGGAGCAAACTTGATAGTGCACTGTTTCCAAAGCTAGCTTCCTGATTTCCTTTCCTTTCCCCTCCCTCCCACCGCCCCTTCCTCTTTCCTGCCCTGCCTTTTTCCCTTGGGTTATTGATAGGGTAGGTATTCTCTACACTACCTTACTGGGAAAAACTTTCACAGTACATGTCTCTAGACAAGGGCAGGGCTGCGGGAACAGTGCACTGCAAGTTTATCTAAAGCACAAGATCTTCTAACCTCACCTCTGACTTAGAGAAACAGGCCTTCTCCAGGCCTGCCCTCAGGGCTTCCTGCTTGCAGTGATTAATTAATGCACTTGGCTAGGAATTTGGGCAGGAGAAAGGTCCTGGTCTGGTCTCTGGGGTTCT